ACTGTAGCCGCCAATGTCTCCACCTGTCCCTTGGTATAGGGAATAATCAATTTATCTGGCATGGTTGCAAAAGATGTTAAGCAATGTTTTATCCCCAATACCGCTTGAGAAGCAACCAACTCAGGATAATATTGAATGGCTTTGGTACCTGAAGAATTACCATGGATCCACCATAAAGGGCCCTCTTGCCATAGCACCCCAGTAGGGTAATGTGCAGCTTTTAAGATGCATAAGAATATGGGCAAAGCAGGATTGACTCGGCACAATTGTGCCTAGTCATTGCTTTCTCCACCTGTTTTAAAGCCTTTTCAGCCAAGGGGGTCAAAGTTCTGTTCGAATTAACATTTGGATCACCTTCCAAAATAGAAAACAAGGGCAACAACTTTGTCCGGGGGATGTTTAAATACCCCCTAATCCAATTAATATCCCCCAATAATTGTTGAAAATCATTAAGTGTCCTCAAATGATGGGTGCGAATGGAAATCTTTTGAGGGGTCACCGTCAAAGGGGATATAATTGCCCCCAGAAATTTTATAGCAGTAGTCTCTTGGATCTTATCGGGTGCCAAGACCAGGCCCCAACATGTAGAAAAATGAAAATAGATCTACATCCATCTCCATGTACAAAATTTAAGTTTAAATGAGCCAAAGGCCTTAGCATATAAAAATTATGTTGAACCTCACAGAGAAAAATTTTTGAAGCGCACTTTGCCACGTCTCAAACACAGCCTCAGTGGCACAAACATTGTGAGAAACCATAAATTATATCTCCTGAATTGAGAAGCTTTTGTATAACAAGGCTAGAGTGGGAAAAGATCTTTATTTATCATAAACCCATTTTAAAAATATGAAGAACTTAGGAAATTAGCTATTAAAAATTAATCCAATAAAAATATTTGTTATAGACCTAAACTGAAAACTCTCAACTGACGAACTTAAAAATGACTGAGAGACATTTAAAAAAATTCTCAAACATAACATCCTTTAGCCATCAGAGAAATGTAAACCAAAACTTTGAGATTTTACCTTATCCTTGTAAAAATGACCAAGATTAAAAATTATTACTAACAATTTATGCTTAAGAAAATGTGGGTAGGGAAAAAACTCCATTGCTGGAAGTGTAAACTGGTGCTGGAAGTGCATACTGGCACAGCCACCTTTGGATCATACCTAATATTGAAAAACCTGGATAAACCAGACTCCCTCAGCAGGAAGAAAAGAACCAAAAATCCAGGGCCAGCCTGTTCAGCGACCCTGCACCAGGGACCAGCTGAAGACAAAACCAGACCTTGACCTCGAAAAACAGATTTCTTAGCTGCTATTATCACAGTACTGTTTTAGGAACTAGCGGATTACAACCTTGGGAGTGGTCCCCTTGGGAGTGGTCCCTTTTCTCAAAAATTTTTTCTCCTGGTCACTTGGGGTCGAACTCCTCCCCCGCCAACCAAGGCCACGTGCCGTGCGCGTGACCTCAGCAAGGACGGTCTCCGGCGAGCTGTGTGGGGGCCGCGCCATCCCTAGACCTGAGTGAGAGTCTCCCCAGCATTGGGAGTCTCCCATTATGTCTATTTATTTAAAATTAGGCAAATATCTACCTCAAAACTCAGCAATACCCCTTTTGGGCCTAAATACAAAGTTGTTTAACCACAAGAACATGTGCTCAGCTTTGCTTGGAGATGTGGCTGAGCAGAGCAGCTGGGCCCGACCATTTAAGTTAGTGAGCCAGACCACGGCTGTGCGGTTGTGCTGTGCTTCTACGCCCTGAGGCCCATGCTGGGAGTGGCCTAGCGTTCTAGCCTGTCGGTCCTCAAGGCAGGTCCCTTGTTTGCAGCTTTGCATCTTGGAGCCGCAGCTGTTCACATTCTACAAAATCTGGAGGCCTCGGTAACTCAAACTAGAAGAATATAATTCCCTTTCTTAGCACATCTTGTTTAGCGGCCAGATCTCTATCGAGCCTATCATAGGATGACACATTAAGATTGCCAGAAGCGGCTTTCTCCAATTCTTCCTCCTCCTGAGGGTCTAACTCCTCCTCAGACCGATCCAGGCCCTCAAATTCCTCGAGCGCTGGATAGAGGGGACCTCTCCCCTTCTCATTAGCCTCTCTTTTAGAGAGGTTTGTATCAGGATCCTTTTCTTTTACTTTTTTTCTTTCAGGCCTTTCCAAGTTTCCTCCCTTTGAATCTGAATCTGAAAAACTGTTCTTGTGTTTAATGCGGGCCTTTCGCCCCTCTCTCGGAACGTCCACGTTGTTCCCTGCCCTGAGGTTGCGGCCGGACTTACGGCAGTGCAACCAGAGACAGCAGGCCAGTACAAACACCACAAACGCCATGAACACGAGACCAAACACCCAAGAACCCACTCCCGCAAACAGCATACTTGGGGAGACTGAAATTAACATACTGGGAGAAACTTACCGATGTCGCCACTCCGCAGAATCCTCTTCGGCCCTTCGCCTGGCGACCGAAGTTCCCGGGTTTCGGCACCAGCTGTGGCGGACCTCTCGACCAGCGATGATTGATGGGGAGCATGGAACGAGAGGGCGGGAAAACGAGGGACAGGGAGCGAAGGGGCAGGGAGCTAAGGGGAGAGACTGAGGTAGTTGGGCTGCATTTAGGAATTCTGAGTCCTGGATGTATAATACCTGGTGCCAGTAACTGAGTAAAAGCCTCTTCTTTGTTAAAATTTTTTTTTTTTTTTTTGGTTTTTCAAGACAGGGTTTCTCTGTGGTTTTGGAGCCTGTCCTGGAACTAGCTCTTGTAGACCAGGCTGGTCTCGAACTCACAGAGATCCACTGCCTCTGCCTCCCAAGTGCTTCTTTGTTAAAATTTATTAATGATTAGAGTGGTGAATCTCAGAAAGACCACAGACCCACAATAACTGAGCCATCTCTGGAATCCCCTAAGCCCCAAAAAAGAGACTTTAAAAAAAAAAAAGAGCAGCAACCAGGCATGTTGATGCATACCTTTAATTCCAGCACTTGGAAGTAGGTGGGTGTTTCTGGCCACCGAGGCTAAATAATGAGACCCTGTCTTTTTTATTTTTTTGAGGCAGGGTTTCTCTATATAACAGTCCTGGCTGTCCTGGAACTCACTCTGTAGACCAGGCTGGCCTCAAACTCACAGAGATTCATCTGCCTCTGTCTCCCGAGTGCTGGGATTAAAGAAATGCACGACCACCACACCTGTCTTTAAAAACAAACAAACAAACAAACAAAAAAACCAAAGCAGATGTCAACTCTGTCTCTGATAGGCAACAGACAACAACCTTGTAGTTTAGCATCATGGACATAGGGTATCTGACATTGTTATATTGTCATAAATATAATTTGAATTCTATAATAAGTTGATACATTTGTATTTATACGTTGCATTGTCTCATGAAAGAAAGACTTTCCTAGGTAAGAAAAAAATCTCTCCTTTTAAAGTAAAGGATTTTTCCAAAAGAGAAAACAAAAGGTGAAGCCAAAGGGGATATTAAAATGGTGTAAAATGGGGTGTAAAGGGACTGGAGAGACCTCTGTGTTTAAGAGGGCACACTGCTTTTGCAGAAAACTGCTTTCCACCTCCAGCTACGCATGTCTGACAGCTCACAAACACCTGTAACTCTAAGTCCAGGGATCCAGCAAGTAACTCACACAGTCACACACATACATAAGAAAAGAAAATAAATCTTTTTAAAAAGCAACTAGTTGGTTAGATTTTATTCAAATGCAACTTTATGTTTTCTCACTGGACTGAAGACTTCACATACTAGACAGCCACAAACTTAGTATAAGGGAAATTCTATTAAAAAGAATTATTCCTATTTGGGGGCATTTCTACTAAATTACATAGTCACTATAAAACTTATCTTAGTGAATATTAAATCTACTTATAAAATTTGGTCTGTTGTACTAGGTTTTCATTATACCTATCCTCCCTCTACCCTGACAGTCAAACAAATGGTACTAATTGTCCAAACTGAAGGCAGGAAGGTTGGACAGATGGCTCAGCAGTTAAGAGAACTGGTTGCTCTTGCAGAGGTGATTTCCAGCACCCACATAGCAGCTCACAAGTGTCTATAACTTCAATTCCAAAGGCTCCAATTCCCTCTTCTGGACTCCCTGGGCATCAAGCACCATGTGGTGCACAGGCATTCAGGCTACACTCATACATAGAAAACTGTCCTGAACCAGAAACTCCCATTGGTTCTAAAATCACAAATTACCTCTTAATTAAATAGTTTGTGTTTTTTGAGACAGGGTTTCTCTATATTACTTTGGTGGCCCTAGAACCAGACTGGCCTCAACTAACAGAGATCTGCCTGCTCACAGAGATCCTCCTGTCTCTGCCTCCCGAGTGCTGGGATTAAAGGCATACATTACCACGGCCCAGCAAGACTTATTTATTTTATGTGCATTGGGTGCTGGGAACTAAACCCAGGTCCTCTGCAAAAGTGACAAGTGTTCTTAACTGAGAAGCCATCTCTCCCAGCCACACAAGAGACTTTTGAACATGGAAACTAAAAATGCAAAGTTGGTTACAGGGTCTTCACACAGTGAGTGCTCAAGAAACAGAACAAAATGGACCAAAACTAAAATCAATGTATTTTATCAACTAGAAAAGGACTCATGCCGGGCAGTGGTGGTGCATGCCTTTAATCCCAGCACTCGGGAGGCAGAAGCAGGTGAATCACTGGTGAGTTTAAGTCCAGCCTGGTCTACAAGAACTAGTTCCAGGACAGCTAGGACTGTTACACAGGGAAACCCTGTCTTGAAAAACCAAAAAGAAAAAGACTCATTTCAGGGGTAGAGGGGGAGGGTCTGTGGAAGGAGAGGAAGGGGACTGAGAAGAGGGGAGGGAGTGGGAATTTGGATTGGTATTTTTTTTTTACGTTGCCATATTTATTTACAATTTTATTTAGTAATAAGAGTTCAAGAGTTTAATCCAGTTTCAGATCAATCTCCTAAACAATCTTCATTCTGTTAAAGGGTTGAATTAAATATTCTCATTTCTTAAGAAGCTGGTGCCTCACTATGAAGAAAGGAGCAGCAAATCCAGATCCAAAGTACACAGTCATCATCGCCAGTAACCGCCACTTGTTTTCCACCGAAAATGGCAAATTCTTTCCACGGCCCTCCTCGTAGTGGCTGCAACGGACCACGGAGGTGATGAACCTCAGACACTTTGGCCCAACATGGTGCTGCTGGAAGCTCAGCAAGGGGCGCAGGGGTGGACGGCGGAGATAATGGCCGCACCACCACAATCCTCTTCCTTCACGACCTTCGGATTGGTATTTTTTTTTTAAGTAATAAAAAAAAAGGAAAAAAAAGACTCATTTCACTCTGGAGGAAAAGGACCTTACCATACATTTCTAACTACCTCCTATGCTACCAACACTTGAGATTAAAGTCATGCATCTCTTGTTTTTTTCTCTGTGTAACAGTCCTAGCTATCCTGGAACTATCCAGGATGGCCTTGAACTCACAGAGATCCACCTGCCTCTGCCTCCCGAGTGCTGCGTTTAAAGATGTGCATCACCACCACCTGGCTAAATAAAGTATCCAGTATTTTTTGTTTTGTTTTTTTTTCAGGGTGTGTGGGGGGGGTCCCAGACAGGGTTTCTCTGTGTAGATTTGGAGCCTGTCCTGGCACTTTCTTTGTAGACCAGGCTGGCCTTGAACTCACAGAGATCCACCTCGCTCTGCTTCCCTAGTGCTGGGATTAAACATATGCACCACCTGGCCATGCATCTCTTACCTCAGACTTGTGTCAGCTGCTTCTGACAGCACATCCATATGGCCGTGGTTAAGACTGAGTCATGCTCACCTTTGACCTTACTGGTAAACAAGGACCCTAAGTAACTGAGTTTGAAACTCCTGACAAGTCAGGCATGGTGGTACTGAGGTACTGCGGAAGTTAAGCAGGCAGACATCTGTGAGTTCAAGGTCAACCTGGTGCACATAGTGAGACCCTGTTTCAAAGACACAAAAAATGACTCCTTTGACAAGATTTCTATCAACTCTCACTTTCTGTATTTCTTTGATACATTTAAATTTATGTATTTTAAAAATTGTCTAGGATATCCTAGATGATAAAAGGGCAGTCTTGGTTTTAGTAAAGCTACTAATGGCCTTTCATTAATCATGTTTTTGTTATGGCTGTTGCTCACTCAGACCTTCTTCTGAGCCAAGTCTTCGTGTTTAAAAGGTTCAAACGCTCTTTTTTCCTTCAAGACAAGTTTCTCCTTAAAGCCCTGGCTGTCCTGGAACTTGCTATGGAGACTAGGCTGGCCTCGAACTCACAGTCTACTGTTTCTGTCTTGTGTGTGTGTGTGTGTGTGTGTGTGGTGTTTGAGTGCAAGGCATGTGTGCCATAAGAATGCGACAGAGAACAACTCAGGAGTGGATTCTTTGTACTGAGTTCCAGGGATCGAACTATAGTTGTCAGTGAGGATTTTTTCCCCTCCAAGCCATCACTGGTCTAAGATTTCACCTTTAAACAGGTGTCTGCCCAAGACCTAGTAAAAGAGGGCTTCACTTACCTTGCAGACAGGAAAACCCGAGTTTAGTTTTCAGAACCCTTGTGAAAAAGGACTGGGTGGAGTGACTGTGTTTGTAATTCCACAGGCAGAGGGGCGAATCCCTAGAGTTCACTGGCCAATAAGCCTGGCTTACTTGACAAGTTCCAGGCCAGTGAGGGGCTCTGTCTCAAGAGATGTGGGGGGAGAAAGGGGGAAGTGGAGAGAGAGGAAGAATGTGTGGTTTGGATATCTGAGGAAAGAGCTCTTCAGGCATGGGGGCAGTGGATATAAAGATCCTAGTTCAAGAGCTCTGAGGAAGGGGCCTGAGGCCAGTGAGGTGAAGGTAGGACCTGCATGGAAGGGTGGAGGGCATGCAGCGCCCCTGGAGGCAGCGCCCCAAGAGGCAGCACCTAGTCTCTGTCCTGGCCTCCTGTCTCACTTCCTCAGCTGTGTGGTAACTAAGGGACCATACAGCCCTTTCAAGCTGGGTTCCTCACAGGTAAAGCTGTATTCCTTTTCTCATGCTGCCACAGCAAACGCAGTGGTAACGAGCACCTTATTCAGAAGCATGTTTGTGGGTTTGTTTTGACTAAGGTTTTAGTTTTACGTGACAGGGTCTCACTAGGTATCCCAGGCTGGCCTCAGTCTCTGCAGTGCTGGGGACTGAATTTGGAGTGTCAGGGCTGCTAGGCAGGCACGCCACTGAGCTAGACACTTCTTTTAGAGCGTTGGAGGCTGATGTCTGGATGGAGGCTGTTGCAAAGCTGTGCAAGCTCTGGGGGACTGGGATGAGGATCTCCTTTAAGGCAGAACCTAACTTAGGCTACAATCAGAAAAGTAACACTTTTGGGCTGTCCTTTCCACAGGAGGCCACTGAGGAGGTTCAGGCAGACTTGGGGCAGAGGGCTCCACAGCAGGACAGAGGTAGACACCTGAGGGGTTGTTCTCCATGAGTGGAAATGGGTATAGAACAAGGGTGGCAGAATCTATAGCAACCTGTGGGGGTTCGACCAGTGTGATACTCAGTACCTGTCTTTTCTCAGGCCTGGGTGTTTTGTCACCTGTTCAATCTTGGTTTCAATAAAGCAGTATTTCCCTTGGACCCCAGAAGAGGGTGCTAGAGACAGGAAAGGTGAAGTCTTCACAGGAGGAACCAACAGCAAATCACATTCAGCCTGCGACACCCAGTTCAACCGATCCACGCGTGGCTCATGACTCTGAAATGCCAAGACAAAGGTGGCTGCAGATGTACAAGGGAGCCTGAGCTATGGGCTTCTTGCTGGCAGGGTGGAGGTTCCCAAGGCCTGGGGCTAAGAACATCCCCTGGACCTCTAACTCACCCATTCCCACCATTCTCTGGCCCCAGGACCCATAGGCTCACTAGCTCTTCTATGGACTCCCCCCCCCCCCATGTCAGATGGGTAAAGTGCCGATGTTATACCCAGGTTTGTGGGAGTCACATGTCTCCCAAAGGGATGAACACATAGTCGTCATGCTTATGAACCAAAAGGATCTTAGGGACTCCTGAGGGAACCCTGGTGGTGGCAGCCCACACAGGTTCACCAATAGGTTCTTTCGACCCTGGCATCACCTGACAGGCATCCATCAGTGCTCCTGAGGTTATGTAAACAGAAGAAAGAGCGCTGAAGGGCATCTGACCCACCATGACAGCTCCAGTTCTGACTGTTGCCTCCACACGAAGGAAAAACTCTGAAACACCCTTACCCATCACAAGCTCAACATTTTATTATCAACAGCTCATGTTCACATGAAGTCCAGCTTGTGAAGAGGGAGACGGGAGATGGCAGGGGATGGCTTAGCCACTTGCTGAGATGGTCCTGCTCAGAACCCACAATGCCTGCTGGGCAAGCAGGGGTCTAAGGGACTCCAGGGTCCACACAATGGGACTGACCAACGCACACAGGATCCCCTAACACAGAGAACTACAGGATCTCCAATTATCTCCATTATCTATCCATGTGGGTTTTTCTTGTGCCACGTTCAGTTTCTAACATGACCAGCTCTCCTGCAGGAGCATGTCTAGCCATGAGGAACTGAGGCATAGTTGTGCTCTACATTCAGGAAAGGGAAGGCCAGTTGCTATAAAAAGCCTGCTTCTGTTATTTGTTCAGGGAAGAGATCACTGGCCAAACGTGTGAAGTGAGAGGCACTACCCTGCTAGTCAGCCAGGCACACACGTGGTGGTGGTGGTGGTGGGACTGAGCATGAGGTGCGGCACATGTGTAGGACACATCCAGGTCTGACTCAAACTTAGTGTTCAACTCTGCCATTCCCCACTGGTATAGACAAACCCTGAGCTGGTTATGAGGTCAAGTATTGGTAACACACAGATCAGAGGGTCCTGGTCCTAGGGATGCTGGCTGAGTCACAGACATGCAGTGTGGCCATGGAAGGTTCCTATCCTTGCTGACCCTTGAGGCACAGCATCCTTGCAGTGGGGCTAACTCTGTAGTGTGAATTCATAGGTGTTGGTCTCCCAGCGAGAGGCGTCTTTGTCCAGCATGCTTCGTTCTGTGAAGGTCACATGGCCATCTGCATCCACAAGGATGATGGTGTTGGTTCTGAAAGAAAGCATCCTTTAGCCCCAGTTCCACCGTTCAGAGCCACATCTGGGACCAGACCTGAGGCACAAAGGGTAGGGTAGGCCCATCACACCAAGGACTGAGCTGGCTACTCCTCTTTTCTACTCCTCTCTCTTTTTTTTTTTTTTTTTTTTTTTTTTGAGACAGGGTTTCTCAGTAGCAATGGAGCCAGTCCTGGAACTCACTCTGTGGACCAGGCTGGCCTTGAACTTACAGAGATCCATACCCCGAGTACTGGGATTAAAGGCGTGCATCATTACCACCCGGTTTCAACTCTGAGGACAAGAGGGGCTCATCAGGAGGGGCATCTGGGCTTCCTGGCCAGTCTCATGATGGGTGAGTCCTGTTACCTCTGCTCTAAAACACCCTATCTTAGTCTGACCCTTTTCCATAGCAAGAGCCAATTTGCTACATCCCTCACAGGGTTGTGGAACTGACAACTCACTACCCCACTGAAGGGATACCATGGCGGGACACCAGGCTCCCAGACACCCAGCCATGTCTGGCTCTCCAAGAGGTTAAGCTCTCAACTACTTGGGGCACATGACCTGTTTACCTAGAAAAATCCCTCATGTCCTTCTTTCAGCACTAGCTCGCGCTGTCACCTGGCTCACTTTCTTCGTCCTTTCAGTCCACCCTCTGGGGGGCTTTCATGTGTGAGCCCCTGTCCTCAAGTGGGGTGGGTACATAATAAAGACCAGCCCATACTGCTACTCCAGCATGTAAAGCACAGGCTTTGAAGAATCAATGCCACGGCAATGCCAACATTCCAAATGCCATTTTTGGCTTCTTTGAACAAATGAGGCAGGCAGGAGCCCCACCTAGGATACAACGACAGCTTCAGGAAGCCAGAGCTCTGACCGACCCGGCCCCATGGGCACATAACCTATAGGATCTGTTCAACCTGCAATGGAGTCTAGAGCAGACTCTGGAATGCACTGAATTGGGGAGATGCCTACCCATGGCCAGTTGTGTTGTGGGGGACACTCAATGGGAAGGGAATATGCCCAGCAGTTCCAACCATGATCACCTGGTGCCATAGGTGGCGCAGCGCACACACACGGCTGCATACTTGCTCAGAATTGGCTGTACATACTCCCGGCCCTGGTCCTCAATGGCTGGGTCTGGCAGCTGTCTGGAAGGATAGAAGTCCAGAGAAGCTGTTAGTCCTCTATCTGCCTCTCTGTTGCCAGTGTATCTGAGGGTCCTATTTGCCATGTTGGCAGACGGAGGTTCCTAAGGATGCCTTGGCATTAAAAGGCTGTAGGGAGAGGAACTATAGGTTTGTTTATAACTTTTCTACTTGGGTCCTTCTGCTTTGTTGCCATTCCACCAGTATCACCTATGACTCCATCACTAAGTCTAGGCATCTAGATGGCACATGCATTCTCTATTGTCTCTTAGTGGTACCCTGTGGGCATCAGTCCATAGAGCCTCCTTAAGCCCTGAGAATCACCAACCAGCACATCTTGTACCACGACTATAGTTATCAATAAGAACAGCTAGAGCCATAATTGGCCTAGCCAAGTGATTGAGGACCACGTGGACCCATGGCTGAGCAAAGCCCAGAACAGCTCCATAAGAGGGCAGCTGATGCTGAGGATGGAGAATGATGTTATGGTTCAAGGTCCACAGGAGTGAGTGAGCAGGGGGCAGGGCAGTCCTCACCCTGTGGAGGATAAAAGCATGACAAAGGGTTCCTTTGAAGATTGCAAGGAGAGTAAGATGGAGGAACACCAGGCCTTGTGTGCAGAAAGTGGCCAAGCTTAGATGAAAATGGGAAGAAGTATGGGACTTCTGTTCTGTGAAGGAACAAATGCTAGGACTCTTGGCTGAGGATCAAGTGCCCCACGAAGAAGTCCATGAGCATGGAAGAAGGTGGGGGTGTTCTGGTCCTTCCAGGGACAGGAGTGTCTATGCCTTATGTTTACCTCCAAGGTCACTGGAGGCAGGGCATAGCAAAAAAAAGTCCTAGGCCTGCTCTGACTAGCTTCTGGCTTCTCTGACTCTTCTCCCTAAGGTTTGCTGAGTAACTAGAACCTTCTAAACTATCACACTAGCCCACCTTGTGTAGAGGGCGACCAGACCTCAGAGAATACCCAGTGCCCCAGAGCACAGGCCCCTGGTGCACCATCTCATTATCCAGGGCCCCACTGGAAACCCTGACTGCATCCCCGAGAGGAATGATCTGAATCTTAAGGAGGTAGAGGATAACAGGTCAGGCATGCTGTGCTACAGCTGGGAAGCTACTCTGCTCATCTTCACAGGCCTTCAAGGTAGCAAATCCTGCCTTTCTCCCTGCCCTAGACCTGTGTGGCTGCCCCAGGGGGACTTGCTCACTTACGCCTCCTCATTGTTGAGTACATCTAGGAGATGGGTGACAAGGGTGTCCTTAGGGAGTGCCTCGCTCTGCTCCACCACTTCCATGAAGAGTTGTTTGCCAAAGCACAGCTTCCTCCAGGGCGTCTCCAGTAGGGCATTGCTTAGCCCATAGGTTCCTGTAGGAAGAAGGTCAGCCTCGCCATGTGGAGGCCCAGATGGCTGGGGCAGATGGCTTAAAGTCAAGCATCTTGAACAAGCCACCAGTGGAAGCTGAATCTGATGTAGGACCAGCTGAGGCCCTGGAAACTTTGGCTCTGTTGGAGCCTCCAAGGCCAAGCTGTCAGCACCGGTGTCACTGGTTTTTCTTTCTGAAGTAGTTTGGGAGACCACTCTATAATGGTGCTGGGTAACTGGGCAGTCACGAAGACTGGAGTTGGTCCTGACCTCACACCCTATGCACAAACAATTAAAGGACAACACGATGGCTCAGTGGGTAAAGGCACCTGCCACCAAGTCTGATGATCAGAGTTCAAGCTCTGGGATCCATGTGGTGGAGAGAGCTACACCTGCCAAATTGTCCTTTGACCTCCGATGTATGACCTCTGAGGAATGGGCATGCAGGCAGGTACACACACACGCACAACAAATAAATGTTTGAGGCAAGTTTGTTTGTATGAGATCCAGACTCCAAAAATCACCCCCCCCAAAAAAGGAGCAGCTTTAGGATCAACTGTGGTGGCATGTATCTATAATCCTAGAACTCAGGAGGCTGAGGCAGGATTGTGGCAGGTTTGAGGCCAGCCTACACAGCAAGGTTCAGGTCAGCCTGGGTTACAGCGAGAATCCCAAAGTACACACACACACACACACACAGAGAGAATATATAAATTTTAAAAGGAAAAAGCGTCATGACCTTAGATTAAGCAATAATTTATTAGGTAAGACAATAAAAGCATAAGCAACAAGATAAATGAGACTTCATATAAATTAAAGTTACTCATTTAAAAAAAAGTGCCAAAGAAGTTAGATAAAACACAAAATGGGAAAGGACTTTTGTGAATTAAGTGTCTGATGAGATTTGTAGATTATATAGAAAGAACAAAAATTTTAGATGGACAGACTACACCTGTAATTCCAGAATTCAGAAGGTGGCAGTGTGAAGATCAGGAGTTCAAGGTCATCCTTAGAAATATACTGAGTTGGAGTCTGGCTAGCCTGAAATTCATGAGCCCCCCACCCTGCTTCCCCGTCACTCCCACCTAAAAAAGAAAAGAGGTGACAGGTAATGATGTTAAAGGTAGAGAGCTTTGCTTAGTATGCCAGAGGCCTTGAGCCTGAGTCAAGAGCACCTCGTGTTGAGGACGGGGTGGGGGTGGGGGACAGAAGGCTGGGAATATAACACAGTGGTACAGTATGTGCTCAGCATGCTTACAGGCCTGGGTTCCATCCCCAGAACTTTCTCCCCCTAGTGTTGAAACAAGGGCGGTGGGCTGCGTCCCCGGCATCAGGCCGCCCCCACTGCTAGCTTTACCCGAAATAATTCACGGAAACTGTATTCTTTTAAACACCGCTTGGCCCATTATATCTAGCCTTTTCTCGGCTAACTCTCGCACCTGGACTAGCCCATTTCTAATAATGTATGTAGCCCACGAGCTGGCTTACCAGGAATGATCTTAACCTGCATCTGTCTGGAGTGGGAGAACCATGGCGACTCCCTGACTCAGCTTCTTTCTCCCAGCATTCTGTTCTGTTTACTCCACCCACCTAAGGGTGGGCCTATCAAATGGGCCTAGCAGTTTCTTTATTGCTTAATCAATGAAATCAACAGATTCATATATGACATTCCCACATCACCCTAGATTCAGAGAGCAGCAAGCCTTGGTGAGAGTTAGGAAAAACAGGAACCTCTATAAACTGCCAGCAGAAAGTAAACCGTGCAGCTGCTTTGACGAACCACGTGGAAGTTCCTCCAAAGGCTCTAGGTGGAGAGAGATGTGCTGGGCCAGCGAGATGGCTCACAGGTAAGGCAATTGAAAACATCAAGTAAGCCAAGTAGAAGTCAGTGTCCTCTGCTACATGGCTGGTTCTGTCTGAATGAAATGTCCAGAAGGCACAGGAGGGAAGAAAGAGCAGCTGCAGGTGGGTCTGGGGTTTTTTGGTGGATGGTGAAAAATTTTGGAATTACCTGGAGCGTTCTATGTAAATCAGGCTGGCTTTGAATTTACAGAGATCTGCCTGCCTCTGCCTCCTGAGTGCTGGGACTAAAGGTGTGCATACCATGCCCAGAACATCATTTATTTTTATTAATTTATTTGGCTTATTGAGATAGCATCTCATTATGTAACCCTTGCTGGCCTGAAACTCACTATATAGAACAAGAGTCCTAAAACTCACAGAGATCTGCCTGCCTCTGTCTTCCAAGTGTTGGGATTAAAGGCGTGCGCCATGGCCGCCTGGCTTCACATTTGATTGTAAATGAAGTCCAGACTGACCTCAAACTATGATCCTTCTGCCTCACTCTCCTGAGCATTGGGTTTCAGATGTATACCACTCTCAGCTTATATGAAACACCCCCACCCAAATACCTCTTAGGTAAGAGGCTTATCATGGAGTCTTGTCTGGCTTTGAACTTATTCTGCATATCAGCCTTGAATTATGACCATCTTTTTGCCTTTACCTCTCTAGTGCTGGGATTATAGAATAAAGGGGGTGCAGATCAAGTAGGGGCACACAGAACGAGTATCTACTGTAAAGATCCGGCAGAAAACAAGCTGCAGTCGGAGAGTTTTCAGGCCTGAGAACAGTAGGCCTCATGTCCTTGTCTCCAGCCGCTCTCCCAGAGGCCTCTGGGCCACTAAGGCCGACTTCTGGGGTACGAATCCTCTTCAGCGGGTTCGCAGGCCCCAAGAAGCTGAAATGAAAGGGCTCTGACCTGGCAGGAGATGAACCCCCGTGACCGCCTAACTTAGGACTTCAGGTCAGGCATCAGCTGGGAGCGCAGCCGCCCCTGCTCTGGGCTTGCGCAGGAAGGTAGGATGGACACCACCAAGGGCAGCTCAAGTGGCCACAGCTGGCAGAGAGCCCTGGGTGAGATCTAATAGGAGTGAGCAGATGCCACAGTCTAGGTGTGAGCTGCCTATTCTAGGATCTCATCATCCCATGCCATCCTGGCCTGGACATACCCCAGAAAATGGGGGGAGCTCTACAGCTCTTTGGCCAATCTGGGGCTCAAACAGTTCCAGGAAGTCTTGAAAAGCTGAAGCCAGCCTTGGCATGAACCAGTGTATGTATGAGTTTTGTTGTGAAGCATGCCAGGACTACAGGTCTCACCATTATCCCTGGAACTAATAACACGGGCAGGGTAGGGCTACTCACCACCCCTGGGGGCTGCTCTCCACTTCCCTTGAGCTACACCTGGAACACAGCATTTTGGGCCTCAATTGGGAAGGAGTGACATGTGTCCTGCAACCTCATTTAGTAATCTGCGCCAACTGCCTAAGAAAGACTCCGTGACTTGGGATGCAGAAACTGCACTATGAATGAAAAGTGTCACACACAGGTGGCTGTGACTGCTGCTGAGGACACTGACTCTCTCCCTAGGGTAGGGATACCAATGGTATGGGTCAACGGCTCAGCTGTAGGGACCAGGGGCAGTGTCCAAGGCCCTCAGACCCAAGATGTTACCAGCAAGGAGTGCTCACAGGCTGTGAATGAAGGAGCTGGCCCCAGGTTAGTTCACCCTGTGCTATGCTCCCCATTAGTGCTGTTTTCTGTGGGTCCTGCTCAGTCTTGGCACTAGTCCTGGGACAAGATACAGACATCTCTTTTTCCAAAGTGGCTTATAGGGCCATGTGAGTATATGTGTGTGAATGAATGTGTGAGGGGAGAGGGAGGAAGAGAGAAAATGTCAGCTCTGGGTGGAGGCAGGCAGCTGGTGGAAAAGGCTTCCAAGAAAAGACAACACCCAGCAGCAGAGACTACAGCCTGGGCACAGGTGTGGTAAGAGGAGAGTATCCAGGAGCTAGGGCAGGGGACATGGGACATGGGACAAGTATGGTACTGGGTGTAGGAGGTATGCATATGAAAGGAGCTGAAGTGTGTGGTGTGTGCAAGTATCACCAAAGGGGTCTGGGGAAGACACTAGGTGGTGACCCCCATGAGATGCTAGCTGAGCGTTGGGGGCTAGGACAGGGGTCCAGAACAGGTCAGCATCTCACAGTGTAGTAAAAGCCCATGGGAGACCGTATGCAGATGTGGGCAAGTGCGGGCCACAGTCCTATACAGACCACAAGACACATTTAAAAAATGTGTCAAAAAGTAAAAAGTCAAAAAGTCAAGTTCCAGGAGAACAAAGCAACAATAGCCTGGTCTCTGAAAAGAACATGGTATTCCCAACATAGGAGCAGCTCCCACCCTGTCTGGACACCAAAGCAGGCTCACCTGGTGCCAAGACAACAGGCTCGGGCTGCCCCCGGTTTCCATAGTAGCAAACGACATCTCCTTTTGTTGTGCTGTGAATGGAAGCCAAAAGCCAGACAAAGTCACATGGGAACCACAAGCAGCCCTGTTCCCAGCACTTCCCAGTGATCTCACCTGCCTTGCCTCTAGCTCAGGCTAGTGACCAGCACAAGGACGATGGCCCACTTCAGCCCAGCTCGGGGCCTGGAAAGCTGGGCCACGGAGACACCAACCCCTGTCCATTCTCATAGGTACACTCCTGGCTCTCTACTGGAACCAAAGAGGAGGAAGCAGATGTGCAAATACCTCACAGTTCTCTAACACGGATGCTGTGATAGCTGCATGCCACCCCCAGCCCTTCTGGTGGGTCACGGCGGCCACTGTATGGCCCATCTCTACGTGCTTCTGACGGGCAGCCCCAGAGCAGGCTTCTGAACAAAGTGACAAAGACTACCTTCTCCTACTGTAACATTCACAGCTACATGGCTGTAGCTGCTGAAAAAGCCCCAGTTCCTCCACGCCACAGGAAGCCTTTCACTGGAACTCAGAAGTGACTGAAATACCTTCCAACGGACAGTGACAAGTGGGGGTGTTTTTGGTTACTGCGACGATTCCTCTTGCTCCCCCTGTCTAGTAGTCCGCAGTCTGGGTTCACACCCCTTCACATTCTTCCTCACTCCAGCCCTTACAACTTTGTGAGAATTTTTTTTCTTCAATTTTTTTTTTTTTGGTGTGTGTGTGTAAGGACCCAAGGAATTGGGTACCCATGCCAGGGTCCCTGTCACCCTCGCCAGGGACTAGATAAAGTGTGTGTATTGGGGAGGTATTGTCAGGGATAACTGTGACCAGGACAAATATCTCTCCATTGAAGGCCTTGTTTTCTTTCTCTCAATCTCTTTAAGAGTCTTTTGACATAGATGCTGGGAACTGAACTCCTGTCTTTTACAAAGACTGTATGAACTTTTACCCACTAAGCCATCTCTCTAGCCCCAGGTCTTGGTTGCTGTTTTTGAGACAAGGTCTCACTATATAGTCATAGCTGGTCTGCAACTCTTTAAGTAAATCAACTGGCCTTGAACCCACCAAGACCTGCCTGTTCTCTGTCTCCCAAGTAGTGGGAGTAAAGGTGTGTAGCACTATGCCCAGCTTAGACCTTGGTTTATCAGTCCCCAACTACTACCCTCAGTTTATCAGTCCCCAACTGCTACCCTCAGTAGCAGCCTGAATTGTGGGATTGCTCTTTAGCTGAACTCTGACCTTGCAGGGTCTATAGCAAGGAAGGCTGCTCAGATCTCCAGAGGCCCAACTGCAGAAGCCACTACGTATCTGCCCAGAGAACATGGGAAGCCACTGTGTATCTGCCCAGAGAAATGGGAAGCCACCATGTATCTGCCCAGAGAACATGGGAAGCCACCGTGTATCTGCCCAGAGAACAACAGAAGCCACCGTGTATCTGCCCAGAGAACAACAGAAGCCACCGTGTATCTGCCCAGAGAACATGGGAAGCCACCGTGTATCTGCCCAGAGAACAGAAGCCACCGTGTATCTGCCCAGAGAACAACAGAAGCCACCGTGTATCTGCCCAGAGAACAACAGAAGCCACCGTGTATCTGCCCAGAGAACAACAGAAGCCACCGTGTATCTGCCCAGAGAACAACAGAAGCCACTGTGTATCTGCCCAGAGAACATCATTTTCACCCATTTGACATAGCTACTGAGCAGTCATTCCTGCCTGCATCAGAGCCATGGCTCTGGTCTCTCGGGGCTAGATCAGACACACATGAACTACTACTGAAAGTGCACACCCAGCTCCATGTTTGGAGAAGAGAGAGATCAAGTTTATGGCCTCCAGGAGTCCCCAGAGTGAGAAAGGAGGATGGAAGCATGCCCTCCTAGCGCCCACTCCAGGGCTTCTTCCTGACCATTGCACCTCACTCAGCTTCCACAACCAGTCAATCTAGCCATGTAGTCCTGGGATGACACAGGACACACATACACAAGGGCTGCTCACCTATGGACCTGTGGACCTGCCCCTGTGGTAGGAGCAGCTCAGGACAGATATCTGGGTGTAGGATGAGAGCAGCTTCCCTCAGGAGGAAACCCGCAGCTAATAGCACTCACTGACTGATAAAAGGGAGATAAGGATATTTAACCCACTGAAAGGCCAAGCATATCAAATTTCTGTTCCTATAGCCATATCTCCAACATGAGAACACCTGGGAGCTCAAGCCAAGATAGACTGAGCCAGCTGTTATGAAGCATCCCCACAGGCAGTAATGGGGCTGGAGCTGCCCCAAGAGGCACTGTCAGCTCCTTGACAGCAGTTCTGTCACTGCAGGGAGCCGGCAACCATACACTGTCTCAAGAAGCTCTGAGCTCTGGGCCCTATTCTCAGTCAGTGGATCTGAGACAGGCTAGGCCCTCGGGTGTTTGCCAAGCACCCCTCAAGTGAAGTCCCGGGAAAGGACACAGAGCTGACTGGGAGTTACCAAGGCAGACCCACCTCAGGTCAGCTGTCAGGAGGTTAAAGCCGTTGTACAGGTGGCCCTCTGTAGAGACCTTCTTCAGGTAGGAAAGGCTGTCCATATCACCGGTCAGAAAGTGAGTCACAAGTTCACCTGTAGGCAGGACACACACAACAATGGCCAAGGCAGCAGCCATGAAGTCCTGCTGTGGGGAAGACCGAAGCAGGGACTTGGGAGGACATATGAGGGTTAATTGCACTGGGGCTCCAACCTCTGAGCCAGCCATTCCTTGCTAACTGGGCTATTATGGAGAATGGCTTTAAAAATATTTTCTAGGGCTGGGTGGTGGTGGCACATGCCTTTAATCCCAGCACTTAGGAGGCAGAGACAAACTGATCTCTGAGTTTGAGGCTGGCTTGGTCTACAGAGCGAATTCCAGGACAGCCAGGTCACACAGAGAATCCCTGTCTTGAAAAACAAAACACACACACACACACACACACACACACACACACACACACACATACACACTCGGCAGGTAGGAAACAGATCTCAACAGTAAAACCCTTGCTTAGCTTGCTTGATGCCCTGAGTTCAGTCTCTACATGGTAGAACAAACAGATGAATGAAAGAAAATAAAGTTCACCTACTATGCCTTTATGTGGAAATTTAGCATCAAGAAAGATGAAACTCAAAGCTGGAGAGATGGCTCGGCAGTTAAAAGCATTGACTGCTCTTCCAGAGATCCTGAGTTCAATTCCCAGCACCCACATGGCATCTTATAACAATCTATAATGGGATCCAATGTTCTCCTCTGGCATGCAGGCATACATGCAGGCAAGAGCACACACACACACACACACACACACACACACACTACATAAATAAATAAGTATCTAAAAAAATAAAAGAAAAATGAAACTCAACTTGCAGGGGGGCAATGACACAGTGCAGGGAGTCAAGCCTGAAGGGCACTCCCTGGCACAATCCCACTGGCAATGCCTCCAGCTCTTTTCTCCAGCTCTTCTTCCTGTCACTGTTGTGTGAAGGTCACATGAGAGGCTGGGGCTCACCAGCAGAAGCCCTGGCTGGGTACCTTCCTTCCTCAGTACCAAGTGAGACCTGCCCGCCTCCATTGCTCTGCCAGTCTTACCTAAGCTCCACCCCAAGGTGCCTCAGCTTTGTTCTACTTAGGTCCCACCCAACCCCACAGACCTCATACCTCTACCACGGGCATATGGGTCTTGCTGGGGCTGCAGATAGTTGGTGAGGGCCCCCAGCTTCCCACGCGTGTTGATGCCCAGCCATGTTCCTCCTGCCTTGCCTTCCTCCATGTCGAGTCCTAGAGCAGATGACAGCATTACCATCAGCCAAGTTCCCGTGACGAGTTCCACTGGGACCCTCTGCCCAGTCCTCATGAGACATGTTCCATAGCTCTGCCAGGACATACAGCTCCTCAGAGGGTCAATGCTGCCACCACTAGCTCCCACACTAGGTTGCACAGGTCCTATAAGCCATAGGAGAGGAGATGGGAGGTATGGCCCAGGTATGAGTATGTGAGAGAGAGACCCTAGATAACAGGAAGTGTCCCAGCCAGACTATTAGATCACTACACTCAACATCACAGTAAAGAGTTATTAAGATGTCCTATGAGAAAGTGTGTATATATGAGTACGTATGTCTAATGTGAGTATGTTATTTGCACACCTGTGTGTGCTGGTACATGTACCTGTGCCCAGGTAGGGGCTAGAGGAAGATACTAGCACTCTCCACTTTAACCTTCACAACAGCAGCTCACTAAGTCTGGAGCTAGGAGGGGCCATCACTCCACAGTGGCCCTGTCTCTGCCTTCTACGGCTCTGGGTTATAGGCAGACAAGACTATGCTGGTGGGTGCTAGGATAAACTCAGACCCTCATGCTCGTGCAGCGAGTACTCTTACCTGATGAGGCATCTCCCTCACTCTAAAATGTCATTTGTTTGAATAAAAATCAATTGTAACAGAAAAATAAACATAAAATGCAAACATAAGAAAGAAAACAAACTCTACGGTAGAGAGCAAAATCACCTACATAGAAGCCCAAACCAACCCACGGCAACCTACTAGGCCCAGCAAGAGAGCGGGCTGAGAACTAGAGGGTGAACATTTACTTGTTCACTTACTTACTGCTACATTTTGAGTCAAGGTCTAATGTAGCCCAGGCTGGCCTTGAATTCACTATGTAGTTGAGGCTAGCCTTGAACATCTGATTCTCAGGCGTGTTCTGCCTGTGCCTGGTTTCGGCACTGCGTGCTAGGCAAGCACCAACCGAGCTCCCTCCCTAGCCCTACTCCGTTTCTGTAAGTCAGAGTCTCAAACTATAGCCCAGAAGGGCTTGACAGGTACCTCACGGTGACACTTCTGTTTCAGACTCAAACGTTCTGGGATTACAGGGCTGGCTACATCACCATGCCCAGCTTAGAAAATGAAAATTTAACTATACCATTGCCCTGAACTGTTGGGCTTAAAAGATCAGGTGTGACTACTGTGTCAGTTCAAAAGAACAGTAACAGCGACTGGTACTGGTGCCAAGACACACAGATCAGTGTGCCACACCCAGTGTGCACCGAGTCCAGAGCAGACCCAACATGTTTGCTCAGCTGATTTCAGTAAACAATACTGCAGTGACTAGGAGGCTAAATCTCGACTCTTACCTCATACTAGGCACAAAAACTGATTTCAGAGCTGGAGAGACAGTTGCTAACATACTTGCTTTGCAAGTACGAGGATCTGTCTGATTTCCAGAACCCCGTACGGTCCAGGATGAGGTGGTGCAAGCAGAGAAAGAATGACCGTGGGAGCTTGCGATGGGCCAGGCTGGACTAATGACTGAGTCTCAGGCTAACAGGACTTTGTTGAAAAGACTGAAGTCAGCTGAAGTTGTCCTCTGGCCCCATGCACACATGTGCACTCACGTGTACATAAACTCACACATACACACAATAAAAGCTAAGTTGAGACTGTCAACTTAGAGGCTTTAGCAGAAAAATGTTATTTATGGCTTGGGGGAGCAGCAGCCTTCCTGAAAAAGACAAAGAAAACAAACCATAAAAACTACATTTTTTAATTTAATTTTATTACTTCTTAAGGTTTTTTTTTTTTTAAAGATTTATTTATTATGTATTCAGTGTTCTGCCTGCATGTATCCCTGCAGGCCAGAAGAGGGCACCAGATCTCATTACAGGTGGTTGTGAGCACATGTGGTTGCTGGGAATTGAACTCAGGACCTTTGGAAGAACAGGCAATGCTCTTAACCACCGAGCCATCATCTCTCCAGCCCCCAAAACTACATTTGTTAAAAATAAAGTATTCTAGCCAGGCAGTAGAGCAACTCGCCTTTAATCCCAGCACTCGGGAGGCAGAAGCAGGCAGATCTCTGTGAGTTTGAGGCCAGCCAGGTCTACAGAGTGAGAGTGAGTTCTAGGCCAGCTGGAGATACACAGAGAAACCCTGTCTCAAAAAACCAAAAAAGAAAAAAGAAAAAAAAGAAAAGAAAAGACATTAAAGAAGTTAGCTGGCAGCCCATTTGCCCAATGAAAGACTCATATCTGGAATGCATAAATAAACCCTACAAATCAACAACTGAAAAACAAATAAGCTCTCACTGTCCAGTCAAGCAACAGAGGTTTACTCTCCCACCAAAACCACCAAAAACAAAGCCTATGAAAACATGGGCTTTAAGGAGGATTTGAGCAGGTGTGGTAAGGCTCACTGTCATCCCACAGTCAGGAGGCAGAGGCAACAAGCTTCAGGCTAGTCAGAAACACACAGCGAGACCCTGTCTCCTCCCATCCAAAGCAAAACAAAACAAAAAACAGGCTAGGGATAAGGCTCAGCGGCAGAACACTTGCCTGTCTAGCATGTCTAGGACCCCGGGGTTGATCCCCAGCACGGTAAAACAGCAAACAAAAAGCCAAATGGACTGGCAAGATGAGGAAGTGGGTAACTGCGCTTGAGGTCAAGCCTGATGTTTGACCCCCATAATCTACGTGGCAGAGAGTGTACACACGTATACATACACACAGATAAACAAACAGTAAATAAATGTCACTTAAAACAGATAAAGGGTCTGAGAGTCTGGAAACAAATGAGACGAGCCCATGAGCCTCATGATGAGAGAGTCCCCAGGACCTAGCAGACACTGTGATATGAGGCCAGAGCTGAGGATCCAGGAGACTAAGGCAGCCAGGGTTCATGGGACAAAGAACAGAGAGCCCAGAGCTATTTCCAGAGATTTAACTAACTGCGTGGCAGGAGCAAAAGAACCACACAGAAGGACCATAGCGGACAGTGCTCACCGAGGGTAGGGAGTGCTGTCTGCTCCCAGAAGTCAGACTGGAAAGCCCATTAACTCCTGGGCTTCTGGGTTCAGCATTCAAAAATACTTTGCTAAAATGGGGGAGGGTTCCTTACCTTTCTAACAGGCCTTAAAGCAAAAATCAAACTATCTCTTGACAATTGGCCTGTATCTAGGAAAAGCTTACTGATGTGTACGAATTCAAAATATACCTAATACAGGCTGTGGGGCAAAGGGTGATACAGATCTGAAAATTTATGTAGATATGCACACCCGACGATGCTCCAAAGACCAAGTAATGTGGTCGTTCTCACAGGCTGACTATTTCTTCTAGGACCCTGTAGTATGTGAAAATACAAGGGGCATGCTGGTGGCCAGTTCTAAGATACGCCTAATTCTGGGGCTGGCTGGATCCCCGAAGTCATTTCCGCCTACTTATGCATTCAGCACTGCACGTGGAAGCAGGGCCACTACTAGCCTTATTTGTTGGGTGCCACTGTAAACAGCTGCTCACCAGGTGTGAAGAAACACTTACCACTGAGGATCTCATTGTTGTTCCCCCAGAAGTCTGCCAACTTGGAGGGCCTGTTGTAGAATTCATCTCTGTTGGCTGCCAAGATGAGCCTGGGAGAAGAAAGTTCAAGGGAAGCCATGTGCCGGGGACTGAACTGCATATGCTCCCTCATGCAGCTGCACCTCCAGCCTCTCTGGTTTGACGTTAAATTTACAGCAGCAGCAACATAAATAAGAATCCCCCATTTGTTGCCATATACCCACAGGCGCTCTAGGCAGCTCCTGGAAAGCTACATCCAGAGCCCCTGCTCAGGAGACAGGGGCTAGGAAGAGGTTTAAGTAGGAGGCAGGATAGAAAGGGAACTGCGGAGACACGGGAATGGAAAGGGCTTACGTAGCTCACCAACTCAGGGCTGAGAATTCTAGTACAGTTACTACTTACTGTTAAGACTGCCTGCATAGGGCAGGTACATGAGAGGATTCAGTGGTTAAGAGTATGGACTGCTCTTCCAGTGGACCAGAGTTTGATTCCAAGAACCCGCATCAGGAAGCTCACAATTACTTGTAACTCCAGCTCTAGGGGATCCCATGTATCTGTTGGGGGCACCTGTACTGACGTGCCCATATTCATAAAAATATAAATAATAGCCGGGTGGTGGTGGCACTCGGTAGTGGTGGCACAGGCCTTTAATCCCAGCACTTGGGCAGGCGAATCTCTGTGAGTTTGAGGCCAGCCTGGTCTACAGAGCAAGTTCCAGGACAGATAAGGCTATTACACATAGAAACCCTGTCTTGAAAGATGAAAAATTAAATAAATAAGATCATACCTATAACTTTTTTAAAAAACTTTTTTTTTTATAATTCACTTATTTGTATATTATATACATTGGTGTTTTGCCCACATGTATATCTATGTGAGGGTGTCAGATGCTCTGGAATAAGAGTTACAGACAGTTGTGAGCTGCCATGTGGGTACTGGGAATTGAACCTGGGTCCTCTGGAAAAGAAGTAGGTGCTCTTAACCACTGAGTCATCCCTCTAGCCCCCATACATACATCTTTGAGACAGACCTGCACAAGGCACAATATCCTACACCTGCGAGATGTGCTTTCAGAAGGCAACAGAATAATACCGCAGACACTGAAGCATGTCGGGGGAAGCCCACACCTGCCTCGAGCATGTCTTGATGCCTAAGTGTCTCTACTAACCTCTCTGCCAAAATCTCTTCTTAATAAACTCCAACTCTGCTTCATGTTGATTTACCCTGAGATTTTTTTTTCAGTGGTGAAGTCAAGCCAGGTGTGATGATACACAACTTTAGTCCCAGCACTAGACAGGCAGAGACAAAGGCAGAGGCAGGTGGAGCTCTATGAGTTTCAGGCCAGCCAGGGCTATATAATTAGACCTCCATTAAAATAATAATTAATAAATAAATAAAAACATGCCCACAATTTACTGCATCATCTGAGTGGACATCTCTCAGGCTGCTGTAGGAGGCAGCGAGGCAGCATGCAGCTGTTTATCGGCCTCTGCCTGATGGCCACTGACAGGTTCTCATGGCCCAGCCTGACGAGACAGATCATCCAGGGCTTGTGGGACAGTCTCCTTTCATGCCATACCCCAAATGAGTAAGGCCAGTAAGGATTCTTCATGGGATTACCAAGCACACACAGGGGCCAAACTAGAGGGCCGTGCGCTTTCCTTCTTCCACATGTCTGCCCTGCCCACTGCAAACACTCAAACAGACCTAGAAATGTGAGCTTCCATTCAAAGCTTAAGGACACACAGGACATGAGTAGCTCCATCTTGTTTATGGAAGGATCGTGGAAATGGCCCTTGGGCCCTCTGAGTCTCCTGTGGAAGCCTCAGCACTTCTAGACTGCCCTACTCCCTTGGCCCCAGTTCTCACTTACGGCACAGAGTCAGAGGCAGTCACTGTTCTTGAGATGGACTGCGATGGTTTGAATGAAAATAGCCCCCATAGGCTCACAGGAGTGGCACTACTAGGAGGTGTGGCCTTGCTGGAGAAACTATATCATTATATACTTTGACGTTTCGGTTTCTCAAGTCAAGCCCAGTGGCTCATTCTCTCTTACTGCTGCCTACAGATTGGGATGTAGAATTCTCAGACCCTTCTCCAACAGTACACTATGTCTGCCTGCACGCCACCACGCTTCCCATCATGAGAATGGACTAAACCTCTGAACTGTGAGCCAGCCCTGGTTAAAGGCTTTCCTTTATAAACGTTGCCATGGTGTATCATCACAGCAATAGAATCCTAGCTAAGACACAGTCACAGATACCCACAGAACAATTCTCTCATCCCAGCACAGAAGAGTCTCAGTCACCGTCATCAATTATGCGGCTATGACCCTAGCCGCAACCCATAGAACTGCACCTCATCCCCCTGTCTTGCCACACCTGCACATTGGCTCTGAGTCCCTGCTCTAGAGTGGGATTCCTCCCAGCACCCCATGCTAAGCAACCACTGTCCAGGACAGCAGGACCAGGCCTGGGCAGGTTGCCTCCAGACATCAGGACTTGGCTGTTCAGAGCCTGACCCACACTCCCGGCAGCCTGCCCTTGTCTCTTGCATACATGGCATTCATTCTAGTGGTGAGGAGAAGCCATGTACCCCAGGCCCAGTGTAGCATGGCAGAGGCAGGACAAGAGCATTCATTACCTGTATGCATTTTTGGAAACAGGACGAGGATCAAACTTAAAGAAGATGATGCACATGGGTTGTAAGGGTGGCTTTGCTCACACAGTCACAGGTCTGTGGGAAAAGGAGAATAGTGAGCTGTCAACAGCAATGTCAGAGGGCCTTTAGATGTCTCAGTGGCCCAGAACACAATACCAGTGAGTGGGGGTGGACAAGTGAGAACCAGGTGCTTGGTGACATCACAGATACTGCTCTTCACCTGGGCACATCAGCATCACCTTGTAACTCCACCACCACGACACTCCTTGACTCTGGACACACCACATGGGGGCGGTGAGTGGGTGCTAGAAGGGGCAGCAGCAGGATTAAGAACCACACATGAAGCTAGGGTAAAGGGGTAGCAAATCCTCTCCCCCAAAATGGCACCAAGTACTCCCCATGAGCCACTGTGGGAGATACCTTCATTTCAGCCCACAGCACCCCGAGGCCAGACATCGGGGCCCACTCACCTGGGATGATTTGTGACACATGTCCCCGCAGGCCTTTGTCCAGCACACACACCTACTATTCCAATGGACCTAATGGTTCTGCATATTCACATTAGGAGGCAGAAACCTGTGCTGGGCATGTGCACACACACATGGTGCTAAGTGAACACAATCCCTTGTCACACAGAACCCATGCCTCAGAGCCTCCTGGCCCAGAAGGCATTTCCCTGAGCTTTCTAGATCTGAGATTAGATCTAGTCTAGATGCATCAACTCTGGAAAGGAGCCTCAAAGAGCCCTGAAATGTACACAGGTGCCATGATTTAGTGTTCCAAGACATAGCTAATGCCTGCAGCTGAAACCTGGGACAGCCAAGAAACTGTTTCAGCACTGAGGGGGGCCAAGCAGTGAGCAGGGGGGCAGTGTGCACAGACACGAGTCCACTAAGGACTAAGTGAGGGACTATGTGTCACTCTGCAGATATGTGCATGCATCTATGTTCATGTGTACCTGCGCATGGCATTTGTACTCAGTGTGACACTGTCTTCATGAGCACATGCATGTCCAGAGGAGACCAACGCGTCATAGAGGCACAGACAGAAGATGCCTCAGAGGTCAGGGTAGCTGTGGGGTCAGGTCAGGCTGTGTTCACTCTCAGGTCTGGGGAGAGTAGATGCAGTGGCCTTGGCACTAAGGTGCTAATCATGACATGACCACTTGAGTTTGGGTGCCTCCTAGGAGATGGCACATGTAAGATGGTCTGTGGCCCTTGATGGCTCTCCATATAGGAGACCAGCACAAGGCCTAGCCCAGTCTCTACAGGTTAAGGCGCCCATGTCCCCAGTCTCCATACAGGGCACATGAGAAAGCATGGCCTAGAGACCTGGAGACGGCTGTCACAGCCACTACAGCCTTGGAGGAGGCCCAGGTCTGGGGACACTAGGGATATCCTTGGGACAGACACTGCCAATTCTAATTCTTGGGTCTATGCTTTGTACTCACAGAACAGGTTATCTCGGCCACATCAGGCCTGCCACCAAAGCAGTGCTGCCACAGTGGTAGAGGGGGCTCAGGCCACAACCTGCCATGGCTGTGGCCTGCCCGAGAGCCCATGGGAGCAGGCAGGCTCATGAAAGTTTTGCATGGACAATGCCACCACGTGTCTGTCCCCAGAGTATCCAGCAAACTGGGGCTTAGTGATTAAGAAAACTGGCTGTGGGGCTGGAGACATGTTTCAGTGGTTAAGAGCACTCACTGACTGCTCCTCCAGAGGACCTGGGGTTCAATTCCCAGCAGCCACATAGAGGCTAACAAGTATCTGAATTTCAGTTCCAGGGGACCCGACACCCATGGCAAAATACCAAAGCACATAAAATAAAAATAAACAAATTTTACAAAAAAGAGAGAAAAGGAAGGAAGGAAAGAAAACTGGCTGCTCTTCCAGAGGATTCAGGTTCAATCCCCAGCACCCATGTGGAAGCTCACAACCATCTGTAACTCCAGTCTCAGAGCGCCTATTCTGTCATCTGTAGGCATCAGGCACACACATGGTGCACACGTGTACATGCACGCAAAACATTCATACACATAACAGGTTTTTTTATATTAAAAGGGGTTGGTTTCTGAGAAATTGTGCCTACCCAGCAGTCCATGAAACAGAGACAGATTCACACTGTGGGGCCAGGGACCCTGAAATTCAGTGATTTGGGCTATCAAGAAATATCGACAGGCATATCACAAACTAGACATGCTTTGACTCTAGGAAAACCAAAGCAGCCAGGAAAACAGAAGCAGGATAGAAAAGGTAACAGAAAAAACAGGGTTCACAATGTACAAAAACTTTCATAAAGTCCTTAGAGAAATGATGGCTATAGGAACTACAAAGCCCAGGAGATCTGGGGGGGGGGTCATAGGGAAGTGGCAAATTCAAGAGCATACTGGACACAGCTAATGAGACAGTCCAGCAGTTCTCCACGTTGCTCCTGTCAGCTGCTGTAGATGGGGGCTCCTGGACTAACAACACACGTAAAAGCCAGATCCTGATGTCAGAGAACAGCCGGCACTCTAGACCGTAGACTCTTTTGGTCCTCCCTAGGCTGTGTACCCAGATACTGGGCAGGGCTACCAGCAGAAGCAGTTCTGGCCACTGTCACCAGACACAGCCAGAGCAAGGGTGTTTCTCCAGTTCAGCTGCAGGACCTGCTAATCTAGCTGGCCCAGGTGGGCAGCAGACCAGCCCTCTACGCTGGAGTGGTCCACAGGAAGGCCACCGATGTGTCTCCAGGCAGCCTGGAGTTGAAGGTGCTGGCAGAGCCCAGGGCTGCGGCCTGGATGAAGACGCAGTCATTGGGAGAGAAGGACCAGAGGAAAGCCAGCCCCTGGGAGGGGACCATCAGGAACTGCCTTTCTCTCCAATCCCTCACCCCCCACTCAAGTCAGGCCCGCTGCTCAACAGCCCCTCCGCCCTCTCTGACCAGCAATCTACCCCTCATACCTTTCCTACTGTACCTTTCCCACAGCAGATCCTTCTGTCCCCTGAGCTCAGATATGACCCCCAAGAAGCTGCTGGCAAGCTCCTGTGAGTCTCAGGTATCTCCAACTCAGTGCCCAGGGAGTTCTGATGCTCTTTTAGGGCCTGATGGGGTCCTCTTAGACTTGCTGCATATTTTACCCCCCTTCTTGCTCCTGTTGACCTGCAGGTCTGAGGGTAAGCCCTGGGTCCATCCCCTAGCCTCCTGCTCACCACATTGTGTAAAGGGAAAGTGGGTCTGCAGATAGTCAAAACTACCCCACAGGTCAACACCCCTGGGCATGGCAGAGCCCATGGGACCACAGCAGACTACATGCACAAGGGTCCTTAAGTCATAAGACTGTGCATGAGAGCCATATCTGTGGGAGAGAGGAGCCTGGTTTTCCTGGTGATGCCTCTACCTTGCCTGGTGCCACTCTTGGGCACATTAGCTAATGAGTTCAGTGGAATTTGTCTTCCTAGAAAAGCCAGAGTGACCAGGGTTATACTGGAGTCTGCATTGCCTGAAGCCAGTTTAGTCAGTCACCATGAATAAAGAAAACTCCCTGGAAGATCTGAAGAAATAGCTCAGCAGTTAAGAGCACTGGCTGCTCTTCAGAGGACCTGCAGGCACATGGTGAATCACAACCACCTGTAACTCCAATGCCTTTTCTGGGCTCCATGGCCACTGTACATATGTGGTACACAGACATACATGGAGGATAAACACCCACACAATACAATAAAATGGAAAACAAAACAAAATCTAAAAGAGCCCTCTCTGGACATTTGTGGAAGTGGGTGAGGAGAGCATGAAGCCCTGCTGAGCACAAGAGTCCCGAGGATGGATCTCTCCGAAAGCATCGAACAAGCGCCGAGACAGGGCCTGGGATCTGAGCCAAAGGTTCTCGAGGTTACAAGTGCACAGAGAGCCCAAAGCACCCCTATCTCGCACCCACTTGGCCTTGGACAGAGAGCTCACACTGTGTCCTTGGCCCTGCCTAGCAATATTTAGCACTCCACTTCCTGGAGTGATCTCCATCAATACAAGTACACTGCTCTGCTCAGTTCTCTCCCTGGCAGCCAAGATGTGTGCAGTGAGCAGGTCTGGGCCACCCACACCCTGTTTACTCCGACTAGTCTCTCTGGAATGTCTTTTGGGAAAAGTGTCTTCACTGATGTGAAGCCTATGTCACTACGACTTGTGATGGTGGCCTTTGGTCATGTAGTTATCAGCTAGAAACAAAGTAAGGTCAGCTACCTAGGCTAGCAATCTCCCTAACCCACAAGTGAAGTTCCAGTAGAATCCTGGATGCCCAGGTTAGCAGGCTGCTGAAAGAACTGAGCAGGGGCAAGCAGTTCCACTGAAAACTGGCAAATAGGAGCCTCTGCCTGGTGTCACCTGGATTCTGTTCTCTGTCCCTTTTCTACTATGGATTTTAATCTGTACCCATCCCCTGTAATACACCAGCAACACGAATACAAGAGCCTTTTGAACTCTGCATCCTCCCCTATCAAATCGCTTTGCATGAAGATGGGCTTGGGGTTTCTTCCCCAACATCTAAACTGTGGCCCTGCAAGAAGTCATCACACAGTGGCTCAGAGGGCGGAGTACCTTGGTCTAAGGCCATGCAACGGCCTCCAGTTCCTGATGAAACACTAACCCTCTTGCTCCCTTCCCCATCTGAGAGCTACCAGATTCACTATACTCCTAACAAAAGGCTGGACGGTTCAATCAACAGGCTCCACTCCACGCAGGCCACTTCCACAGCCCAGTCCACTGCCTCTTTGCTCCACCAAGACATTACCCCCGAAGTTCCCACGGGACCAGAAAATTGTTGTTGGAGCCTGTGCCTGATCGTGGGCTGTCTAATTGGTCAAACCCAGACTAAACACAGCCACCCTACATATTAAGGGAAGATTAGATCAAAAAAAGAGACAGAAATCCACTCTGGAAAACATTCAATTCTGTAGCTCCAAGTCTGATATCCAGGACATTAGTGTGATGTGGGCTCCACAGGGCTTGGCCAGCCCCAACCCACATGTGTGTTTGTCTGGAACATACATGAGCTGGCTCCAGGTTCTGCATTCAGTGCCATTTCACATTCCTGGCACCCC